GATGTGAGGATTTCCTGTAAATTCAAGGGTGGGCTTTACTATTTAAAGATACACTTGGTCTTCTGCGGTGCAGTAGAGTATGACTTTGGGGCAGTCTGAGTCTTCACAAGCCTAGAGAGATCAGCTCTCCAGGCTGCCCTTCTTCGAAAGATACAACTTCCTTCCATTCACCTATAGATGTTTGCATGCGATATCCTATCACTGCATCGTGTAAAAGAATTTCAATGAGGTTTTTTTTCCTAAGATCACAACTCACAGTGTTGGTTTCTGTGGTTGTTGTTTTTTTTTTTTTTTTTTTTTTTAAGTCACTGTTGCTCTTGGCAGAGAAACACAATGGAGTGATTGCAGTGCGTATTCAAACCTCTTGCAGATGAGAAGAACAGTATTTCTACAGTGTATTTATCTTTCAGATGGGACTTGAAATACTGACACCCAAACTGAAAGCATTTGATTTTAAAATGTACACGTTGCTTTGGGAAAAAATTGCACAGGCTTCCTAAAATGTATCTTCTTGTTTATTACCTGTTGAAGAATATTCTCATCTGTTGCAGGAAAACAAAGGATTTACAGTTTTCTGTATGTTGGAACAAGGATAATTTTCTTCTCTTTTTTACTCTGTCTACACTGCTGAAGATATTTGTATCTAAGTATGTGACAGAAATGAATTTGCAATTTTTCAGTGAGGTACCTCTCTTTACATTCTATTTTTTCCAAATTTCTCACCTTGTTTATTTTCTATGTATTTCTTTCCTTCAGTGTTTTCCAAGTGGCACAAAAAGGCCTTGAGAGGGCTGTGTAACCAGCTGCAGGGACTAAGCGTGTCTCATCTTCTTTCAGAACATGCAGGTGGCATAAAAAGTAGAGTATCAGGTATTGCAGAGTGCTCCTGTTTTATTTAAAGCATTGTTCCTTGCCCTTTTACCCGTGCTTCACTTTACAACTCATTTTAGCAGTGGGGACAATGGAGCTATGAGGACAACAGAGCCATGAGTATCTGCTGTGGTGCTGGCAGGGCCCGATATACTGGGGAATCATAGAATGTGTTGGGTTGAAAGGAACCTTACAGATCAGTTAGTTCCAACCGCCTGCCACAGGCAAGGTTCAGACTGCTAGATCAGGTTGCCCAGTGTCCCATCCAACCTGGCATTGGGAGCCTCCATGGATGGCGCACCCACAGCTTCTCTGGGCAGCTGTGACAGCACCTCACCGCTCTCTCTGTGAAAAACTTCCCCTGATAGCTAATCAAAATCCCTCTCTTTCAGTTTAAAACTATTCCCCTTTGTCCTATCAAACCATTCGTTCCCACTGTTCTATCAAAGCTGTGGGTGATGCTGAAGCTCCAAGCTCCTTGGTGACAGCAGGCTGGCTTTGGCCAAATGCATTTTCTCTCAAGCCAAAAAATCTTTCCAAGCTCAGTTTTAATATTAGAGCTTATTAGATGTATTGGTGCCTAAATGTTTGAAACAGACTCGATTTACTTTTAACTCCAGCTTCAGCTTCTGCTAGCAGGACTCCCCCTGCCTTGGCAGCCTGCGAGGAATCTACAGGCTGGATGCAACTCTGCTGTGAACGGTGTGTGACAATTGTGGAACCTGAATTTGGACCAAAGAGATGAAAGGGTACTGGTTAGTACCTGATTTACTTAGATTTGATACCTTGGAGTAGCTGGACAGATACCATGTGCATTTAAAGAGCATTATTTCAGAATATTTTCAAATTTGTAATTAGGTCAAAATATTTTTATTGTTGCAGTCAGCCACAAAAAAATACACACCGCTGTGGCAAAATTTTACTTGTTGCAAAGGAGTAAACAGTATGATTTGGTTTTCTACTCAACATCTTCTATCTCTTGTGCCATTTTTGACATTGAAATTATTGTCTGATAATTAACATGGAAGTTACTAAGTGTAAATTGGTAGAATTCTTGGTGTTACTTTCCTTGTTTTGTATGTTTGGTCTCGTGAATGGAAGCATTAAAGTTATCATTTTTATTTTGCGTTTGCTGCTTCTCTCCTTTCTAATGAACACTAGCTTTGTTGTTCTGCAAAGAGCCCCTCAAAGAGAATTACGTATAAGAGGCACTTAGAGGATGCGAAGTGGGAGTTGAAAGCTGCTCCTGTATGTCTTTGCCAGTCCGTTTACTACAGCCTAAAGCAGACCTTCACGTACCGTGTAAAAACTCGGATTTGGTGGATGCCCATCCTCCCCTTGGAATTTCTGTCGGTGGGAGATCAGACCTGAAATGCTGCAGGTTTTAAATGTGTACTAATTGAAACAGTGCAAAACCAGGAACGCTCATTTCAACTAATGCTATAAATTGCAGTGCGCGGGCCAAGCTAAGTAATAAAGCAGAACCAATTGTCTCGCAATATTTTGATGAAGATGATATACTGCCATTAATTATTTTAGATTAATAAAATCATTTGGCAATTTTTAAACTCCAGCTTATTTTTCCCCCTCAGGCCTAATTGAATATAGAGCTTGGGGCATCTCCTCTGAGTGACTGTATTTGTCTTATAAGTAATGCTTTCTTCATATCCTCATTTTTGTAACTAAGCTTCATTAATGAAAATGCTATGAATAATTGAAATGAAATATGTCATGGCTAAGCATAGGGAAGCTGTGGCCGAGTAAACAAAGGGACTCTGAAGCTTTCGATTTATACGTGCTTTAACTGCAGCTTGCAGCATTCTTGTCTAAGTTTGACTCTTAAAACTCGAATTTTCAGACAAGAAACAGTATAGAAAGTTGAATTAGAATGAGACCTACATTAAAAAAAAAAAAAGAAAAAGAAAAAGAAAAAGAAAGGTTGCTTGTCTAAAAGCTTACTATTAAGCAGTGTTCTTGCTGGTGTAAAGTACAGAAAACGTGGAATGTAGAAGGCATCTAAAATACCCAGGACAGTCTGTCCCTAAGGCTTACTAGATGTTTTTTTTCCCCCTTCTCTCCACAGAACATTTCAGAAGCAGCTGCAGCCTATTCAAGTATACTGTAGTGTGAAAGGCAGAAAGTATTACCTTGCTGTTTCTTCTTACCGTTTAATGAGTTTTGGGTCAAGTCTTTGGTTATGAGACAATCTGGGTTGCTACTTGGCAGTCTTGTGTTGTGAGTCACGTAAATGAAAATATTACTCTGTGTTGTTTCATCCCTCAGTATGCAGTGGAAACCATGTTTTTATTTGCAATTTTGCATGTTTGTACCTTCTGATACAGCAAAAACTTTCAGTGGCTGCCATCCTTTATATACTCAGTTTGCTGTCAGGCTGCCCCTTCTCTTGGTCTTAAATGACAAATTTCAGAGATTAATTCAGATGTTCTTGTTTGCATGCTTCCTGCTTATATGGACTTCTGAATTTGTGATCTGATATGATTTCTACCCCCCACCCCCAGGCTAATATGTTACTTCCAAACTAGTCGTAATATAAAAATGCTTTGTTCAAGAAATGAAATTGCATTTGTGATACATCTGTTTTAGATATTACTATCAGCTCTCTAGGAAAAAAAAGTGGTTTGAATAGATGTTGTTGATAGCTTGTAACGTGCTGTACAGATACGAGATGTAGAAAATCAAACCCAGAAATGAATGGTTTTGTGGCAAATAAGAGGACTAAATTAACTTAGACATAATGAAATTATTCTATACTGTGTAACTGAGATGAGCGTTGCATCAGCCTTACCTTGCTTTTTTTTAAGCTTGTTCTGGTGATGTGATTTGACTGTATTTACTCATTTATGTACTGAAGAGGTTCAAAGGTGAATACAATGAGAAACCTTTGTGACTTTAGATCTGTAGCTCTTTATTTTTTGAGTCATAGATCTCAAATGATGGATGCATGAGTACAGTTTTGTTTTTGCTAGTTACATTTTAAGATGCTGATGTTCTCTTAACTCGGTAATAGTTTGGTGCTGTTCATTACAGACCATTTATCCTTTGATCTAGTCATGTGGTGTCTGTAGTTCTTAATGAGAAGATTTTTGTTTTACAGTTATAAGTGAAGAAGAAACGATCTATTAAAATCTAACCATTGATTTTTTGCTATATGAAAAGGGGGGGGATGCTGGTGCATTGCGTGTTGCATTGGTGAGGCAGATAATGACCATCGTATTTAACTGTGGAAGAAGACAAAAGCTTTTTGACTTTTATTAATCTGTTTTGTTAATCGAAGTTGCTTCTTCCTTTGTTTGTTTGTTTATGGTTAAGGCTCTTTGTCATTGAGGTGGTTGCTCTTGTGGTTTCCTGTATGTCTTGCTGACATAAATCACTCACTTTTAAGACGAGTTGATACCTAAGCATGTTATCAGTTCACTTTGTCAGGTTGAAACTAAATATTATGTTTGGAGTTTTCTTCCTTATTGCCCATCAGGAAATAACTATTAGTTACCTGGAATGCTTTGTCAGGCTCTGCGTTCTTATTTTCTCTTTAATCAAAGTACTGAATGTGCTCGGTTTCTGCGCCTGCGCCTTGCATGCCACATCAAGCACAGCAGAACTGTCTGAGATGCAAAGTAATGCAATTGCCAGCAGGAATATGATATTTGCTAAAGTCTCTAGGAAAGCCTTTTATCTTTGGCAAGTAAGTATTTTACATGAAATTACTCATGATGGTAAAGCCACAGATTTAAAGTGTAATAACCCCCTCAAAAAATGTTTTCCTCATGTAAGGTGCATTTTTTAGCCACTTCTGTTTGGTTTTAAAACTAAAAATATTTTTTAAGTTTGCATTTCTATAAAGACAACGTGATGTAAGTTTATGGAAATTTAATTCTTTTTTCATAGTTTCTTCTTTTTGGATTTTATTAATGGTGCTTTGAATGCTTGCCATTGAAGTCTAGAATATCAGAGAAGCTGCTTCTTGGTGCAATAAATCGTAGCATAGTATGCTTATGAGTGTGGCACAAGTATCAGAATCTGTTGAAGTCAAAATGTTAATGGGTTGAAATACATTTAAGAATCTGCTTACACGATTTTTGTAAGCTTATGTGCTTTTCTTCTTGTTCCAGGTGATCTCTGCCATCCACTTACAGAACACGCAGAAATAAATCGGCGCTTTGAGCAGCAAGGAGAAATATTACTCCAAGAATGAAGCAATAAAACATCTCTGCAGAACCGTATGATTGAGAACGCAGTTCAACCCTCCTCTGCTGCCGGACATGCTTTAATCCTCCAGCCCTACTCACCCACTGTTGCAGTAATACAGATGGATCGTAGCAGAGAGGCAGAAATGGCACTACGGAGATCCTCCAGCCCAGGCAAGCTGAGCAAGAACGACATGGATGCTGACAAGACCATGTGCCACAGCTGCTGCATCTGTGGTAAAAGTTTCCCTTTTCAGAGCTCCTTATCGCAGCACATGAGGAAGCATACAGGTGAGAAGCCCTACAAATGCCCTTACTGCGATCATAGAGCTTCCCAAAAGGGCAACCTGAAGATCCACATCCGTAGCCACAGGACAGGCACTTTAAGTCAAGGACATGAGGTGGAGATGGGAGAGGCTCAGCTGGGCGAGATGGGAGTGTCGGAGGGCCTTGGTGGCTGCACCAGCCCCACCAAAAGCACGTCTGCCTGCAACAAGATCTTGAATGGTAGTGCTCAGTTAGACAGCAGCAAGATCTTGTTGAGAAGCAGCAAAAAGGACGTCACAGAGGCGACGCCTGCTGAGGAGGATGGCAAGCTGTCTGCTTACCCGTGCACCTTCTGCAAAAGCAAATTTGAAAGGAAGAAGGACCTGGAGCAGCACCTACACCAGATCCACAAACCGTTCAAGTGCAGGCTGTGTAGCTTCATGACCCTGAGGGAGGAGTCATTGTTAAGCCACGTGGAGAAGGACCATGTTACTGCTCAGGTCCCAAATGGGGAGGCCTACACTGAGAACTGCAAGAGTGAGCTGAGTGCTGGTGAGTTTCCTTGTGAAGTCTGCGGCCAGGCCTTCAGTCAAACCTGGTTCCTGAAAGCTCACATGAAAAAGCATAGGGGCTCATTTGATCACGGCTGCCACATTTGTGGCAGAAGATTCAAAGAGCCCTGGTTTCTCAAAAACCACATGAAGTCACACGGCCCGAGATCTGGGAGCAAAAACAAACTGAAAAACGAGCTGGAGCTCATAGCCACTATCAATGATGTGATACAGGAGGAGACGATTGTGACTGGCCTGTCCCTGTATGAAGTCTGCGCAAAGTGTGGAAATCTGTTTACAAATATGGAAAGCCTAAAAGCGCATAATGCTGTGCACTACCAGGCTCAGCGGGGCAGCACTGGGGATAAAGTCGAGGGCTTAATCGATGGGAGCCTGAGCCCCTCAGTAACAAAGCAGTTTTTCTTGCAGTGTCTCAGTCTAAGGCCATCTGTAGGGATGGATAGAGTTACAAGAGGACAGCCTGGAAAAAGAGTAGCTGAGCTGGATCCAGTCAGTAGCTACCAAGCTTGGCAGCTGGCCACCAAAGGAAAAGTAGCAGAGCCCTCTGAGTATGTGAAGTATTTGGGGTGGGACGAGGCCCTGGCGGACGCGGATGTGACTTATGACAAAGATAAGAGGGAGTACATCCTCGTCAACCAGGAGAAGCGCAAGCGGGAGCAGGATTCGCCCAGCTCCTCCAGCAACCCCAAGAAGAAGAGCTGTTCCAGCGGGCGCCTGGAGAAGGCCAGCAGCGCCCTGCCAGGGGAGAGCTGCCCGCCCGCCCAGGGTGATGTGGACTACCGTCCCTCCTCACGGCAGGGCAGGCGGGCCACCCAGAACAAGTCCACCGAGTGCTTCGAGTGCGGCAAGATCTTCCGCACCTACCACCAAATGGTGCTGCACTCGCGGGTGCACCGCAAGGAACGGAGGAGCTGCCGCGAAGGTGGGACGGCCGCCCAGCCCGACCGCTATGGCTCCAGCAGCGAAGAAGGGGACTTGGGTTCCGTCAGCGGGCCCAGCACACCTGACTCCGCGTCTGCTCTGGAGGACTCAGCCACCTCTGGCCTGGGGGAAGAGGGAGCCGAGGAGAGCTCGGAGGAGGGAGCGGCTGACCCCTCGCTAGGTAAGATGGCTGCTGGCTTGGCCATGCAGTGAGCAAAGTGTGTGTGGGCAGGATGGAGCCCTGTGCCCAACATGCATTGCTCTGTGTGGCAGTTTCGTTGATGCTGTTGCGGTAGATGTGAGGTCACATATCCTCTATATGTGAGGATATCTTCAGAAGGTGCAGGTAAATTTGTATTTCAGTGGGGGATACCCAAGAACTATCTCAGTGACCTGCAGCAAGTTATTTCTGCTGCTATATCCCAGCACAAGAAACCAAGAAACGTGTAGATGGGGTACCTAGGTAGGGACATAGTTTAGTGGGCAATACTGATGGTAGATGGATGGTTGAACTAGATGACTTAGAGGTCTTTTTCCATTCTGTGACATCTCAGGGGCTATTTTTCCCCAGTTCATGGACACCCAACCCCAGTCCTACCTTCAGCAAGCAAGGAAGGGTGCAGCTTGTGTGGTGTTGCTCCTAAGCATGTGAACTCATTAATAGCCAGCATGAAAGGTGTTTCTCTCCTCTCCTTTCTGCTTTGCTTCTCAAACTTGTGTTTATAACTCCAAGGGCTATAATTAATCTCTCCGGGTTAAAGCGGTCCTTTGAGCCCAACACTACTAAATGGAACAAATTATACTCCAAATAACAGCAAAGTAAATATTTAAAAGAACACTATTAACCACTTTTGTATGGTTGGTTTTTTGTTTTTTTTTTTTGTCTTCCAATTTTTGTTGTTTACCGTTATTTGTTTTATAATGCCTTCTTAGAAGCATGAGATTAACCATTCTTTCCTTACTGGCCTTATGTGGATTTTTGTTGTTGTTGTTGTTGGTTTTGTTTGGCAAATATCAACATACTCCTCCTCGCTTTGTTCCTTTTTTTTTTTTTTTCCTCTCTCTGAAGAACAATGTTGTCTGTAAATTAAACTCATTTTCAAGACCATCTCTGAAGTATAATATACACCATTGTAGAGGAAGGTGGATGTAATGTAGTACTTTCTCCAGTGGCTGCAAACTCCATAGTGTCCCCAAAGCAGTGCTTGCCAGTATTGTGTATTAATAACTGCGCATTTTTAGTATAGTGGTAAGGCAGTCTGGGATATTGTGTCATTAAGCTTCTTTCATAAAATACTGGGGGGTTTTAAGGGCAGCTAATGTTGGGGCCACCACTGTTTGACAGTGTGGCTCTCAAAGTGTTCAGTGGGAAGAGGGAACAAAGGACTGAAACTGTTGGGCAGGAGGGTGTATGAAACCCAACCATTTGTCTTTAATAATTACAAGAAGGGTCTTCAACTTGATTTAACTACAACTTGGGTCAAGTCCCCTGTGGACAAGTTGGGTGCACAGGAGAACAGAAATTTAAATTAAACCGAGAACCCCCATCCTTTTTAATGCTTTCTTGTCCATTTCACAACTCCAAGAAGTCCTACTGACAAGTTAACTCAAATATTGTCACTGTTATTACTTGCACAGTTAAAAAACACAGAATTTGGTTTTCCCATCTACAGTTCCTTGGATTCGGATCCTTTAAAAAAAAAAGTTGTTTATGGGACTGTACTTGTTTTGTGTGAAAACCCATCAGCTGCTGCCTGAAACACCTCTGTACAGTTGATACAAAATGTAGTTCTAAAGCTGCAGCTTTGTCTGGAGTTAAGTGGGGCTGCCATATTTTACCTGTGTAATGTACAGTGCCCTTATGGAAACTGCTGTGATGGAAAACCATCTCTCTGGAGACAGGCTGAAAACACTGGAACGCTTTTCACATGATGTTCAAACAGTAAGGCTGTTCTTCTGTGCTCTCCCTATTCAGCACTTTATTTTTAACAAGAGGAGCTGTCTCATCTCTTTCCCTGTCCCAGTTCTTACCTCATTTGAAGCTCAGCCCTTGTCTCATGAGTGAAACGTGAGAGTTAGAGTTGCACAGCAGATTCTCTCACAGGAATTAAGGTGTCTGGATTAACCACTGTCTCTAACCAACACCAGGAACCTCATTCCTTTGGGTGTGAAATTGGTTCTTATCTATTTTGATGAATACTAAAGAAGAAGAAAACTGATAGGCCTAAATAAAGATACATCTTAGAAAAGGGATGCATTTGCATTGATTGTCTGTGATGGTGGCTGCTGCATTTTATATTTTACAAGTTTACAAGTGACAAAGACTTTTTAATTAAAAAGGAAGGATTTTTTTTTTCCCCATAGCACCTCAAATTTCAGGACTAAAGTTTCTCACTTTTCTCTTTCTGGTATCAGGTTTGCTGAGACTGCACTTACATTGTTTGTTATGGGACTGTGATCCTTCTGTCCAGCAAGCTGTAGGATTGGTTTTACTCTTCTGCAAATTACAGTTTTAACTGGAGAGGCTTTCTTTTCCTCCTCTACCACCACAGACATAAGCTCTTAAGAATGCAGGCCAAATTCCACACTCATATACATCCTGTTAAAATCAGATGGTCCAGTGTGGCCTTCAAATGCGTTTTATCCTAGAAGTGGTGCATTTTGCTGTCCTCTGCTGAGGTTTGTTGTAGCCATTCTTGCTGGTGAACCTTTTCTGTTGAGAGCAGAGCTCCAGTGCCCCAGACAGCAGCCACCCTCAGCAGAGGCGGAAAACCGTGCTCGGTGCTCTCGGTTCCTCTTCCTGATGTGCCTGCTGTGGTAGTATTTTTACTCAGATTGTGGTCAGGAAAATCTTGCATTAATCACAAGGTTATTTTAAATAAGATAAGTTTACTTTCATATCTATTTTCCCCGCATTTGACATATTAACCCTGTTACGCAGGGTCAGAAGAGGGTCTTGGTACTACCAGGTATTGAAAGTTCTAGTCCTAATTCAGCTGAAGGCACCTCTGTGCATTTAATGTACTGATCTGAGTGGTCCTGCTGACACACAGGGTAGGTAGTAAGTGGCTTGCCCAGTATCTTGCAGCAAGGGAGCTGGGTGTGCACCTTCACGCTCACTTAGGGCCAACAGAAGCTGGGGCTGAGGTGACTGGAGTTGGGGAAAAGTGACAGAGCTTATTGGGAGGAAAGCAAGGAATGAATGCACTTTGCATGTGAAATGGGATTGAGAGCCTCCAGGGTAGCCACTTCTTTGCTCTTAACACATCAGTAATTTGTCTCTGCTGTGTACGTAGAGTAACATAATGATTTCTCAGGCATGAGAGTGATGCATGCAGACCCTGCTTATCAGCTGCCAGGGGGAAGCTGGCAGGTTACAAACTGATTTCCATCTTACTGGAAGGAGGGCAAAAAATGAAACAATTCTCTTATATTTCATGGGCAGAGTACCATGTGATACCCGTGATACAAACTTGTCATATGCATGATATACATGTGCTTTGTATGACAGCCACCTGGGAAAAGGTGTCCCAGAGTGTGGTCTGTCTGTTCAGAGCAGACTTAGAATATTTTTGAGCTCTCCCTGCTCCAAATGAGTCTTTGTTTTTATTTGGCATTCATGTCACTAGCAAACTGTACCTGAATTTCCACTCGGTTGAGTTTGACACTGTTTGAGCCACTGGCAAGTTGTTGCTTGGCACTTCACCAATTTAAAGGCAGATTCTATGATTTTAACTTTTTAATTAAAAGAACTCCAGTGTTATGACTAAGCAAGTAGAGGGAAGTTGTACAGCGATAAAAGTGGAAGGAAAAATACTTCTTTTTTTCTCTTCAGTCTAACAGCTTCTCTCCTAAAATGTAGTATTTAATATGCAAAAGAAACAGTTCAGTCTTTGTGCATGTACATATGTGTGCATTCAGTGGTCAGTATTTTTAAGGCTTAAAGCAGGCACTCATGTTGTCATGGTATATTTAGAATTGGAGTGTTGCATTTTGTTATAGAAGGCACTAGGGACTATTTCAGTCCTGAAATAAAGAAGGAAGTACGATTTTAAAGATATGACTGCTTCTGACAGGTGGAAAAAATGAAGAAAAGAAGTGAAAACAATTTAAATACTACTTGGCACTCAGCAAACATGTACTAAAACAGCAGGTCTTTGATATCCCAGTCTAGATCTCGGGGAAAGGGAGAATGTCAAAAAGTTGCTTCTTTTCCTTTCTGCCAAATATGGTGTTTGAATGCAGAATGCTAAAATAAACCTAGAAGGGGGAAGAAACAGTGAGACACCAAACCCAGGATTGTTGTGCAGGAATAAAAGAGAGGAATGCTTCTTGTTCTATCCTGACATTATCAAGGAGGGAAGCAAGTGAAAGGAGAGAGTGTGTTGCATCTTAGAGGTGATGTTGCTTTCAGTGGGAATATTCTCCTCCATTTTGTTTCTTTTCTGCCTCTTCTCTCTGTTTTCTTTTCCTTTTTTTATTTTTTTTCTATGTCAGACTCCTCCAAATTTTCAAAATGTTTTAAGGAGAAACTGATTCATTCTTACTCAATACATGCTGATTTTATGATGCTGGCTAATGCAGGAAGGGACTGATTGCAGAGGAAAACTATTGTGTGAGGCCCTGTACAAATACAGTGCTAGGCGTAAGGAGCTCCTAGTCTGAAAAGATAAGATGGACACAAATGGCTGGAAAGCACAGAATACAAAAACAAACAAACAAACAATGAAAACAAAACAGCTATGTGTGGCTGTGGTTTTTTTGCATTGGGAAGTACCAGTGGTTTGGTGAGAAGATGAGCTCAATGGAAGGGCAATGAGAGGTGGCAATAAGGAAGAATGGAAGGAAATGTAGGACAGCACTGGCAGAGCTAAGATTTTGGGCATCTTGCACAGAAACCAAAGGGCTTTAACAGCATCCTGGCCTGAGGCGGGTGATGCTAGGAGGTTTTACATGTTAACAAGCAAGAGGTCAGGTACAGTCATACAAACAGGAGGCAGAACTGCAGGAGCTCCTTGTGTTTGCACCTCCCGGTACATCCACTGGCTTGGTGTTATGGACTCACTACATTGTAAGAATTCACACGTCCTTCCTTGGTTTTAATTTGTAAAAAAAAAAAAAAAAAGAAGAAAAAAAAAAGTGCCTGGGCTTGTTTGCATTTGTTTAAACACTCTTAGAAAT